TGTAGGCGCTCAGCAGATGTTAAGCTGTGAGGGATTTTGATAGTAACAGCGTTTCCCAAAATAGCACAATGAGATGGCGGCCTTAACTGGACCACAGCCAGAAAACATCCCTTACATGTGCAGTCTGATTTGATGAGCGCAACTGAAGACGCTTTGTACCCCACATGCAGAGGCTACACCAGAGTGGACCCCACCGCTATGGTCCCCTCCTGGGCCTCACTTCCTCCATTCCAGAGGTGTGAACACAGCGTGAGGAGTGCCTGGAAGGACTAAGAGCTGGCTTTGCTTTGTGTTTCACTGCAATTGAGAAGGGGTGGGGGGAGGGGAGAAAGGGAAGGAGAGGGAGAGGGAGTGGGGGAAGGACATGAAAAGAGAGAAGGAGGGAAGGAGATGGAAGGAAGATTGGGAGGAAAGAAGGAATTAGAGAGGGAAGGAAGGACAGAGGAAGAAAGGGAGGGAAAAGGGAGAGGGAGGAAAGGAAAAAAGAAAAGGATACCTGGGCATGGTAGAGTATGCTAGAAACACCAGCACTTCAGAGACTTGGACAGAAGGGTCACAAGTTCAAGGCCAACCTGGATTACATGATGAGTTCCAGACCAGCCTGGGTTGCTTAGTGAGTTCTAGGCCAGCCTGGGTTACATGGTAAGTTCTATGCCAACCTGAGTTTCATGGTGAGTTCCAGGCCAGCCTGGGTTACATAGTGAGTTCCAGGCCAGCCTGAGTTACATGGTGAGTTCAAAGCCAGCCTGGATTACATGGTGAGTTCAAGACCAACCTGGGTTACATGGTGAGTTTCAGGCCAGCCTGGATAATGTGGTGAGTTCAAGGCTAACCTGGGTTAGTTCTAGGCCAGCCTGTGTTACATGGTGAGTTCCAGGCCAGCCTGGGTTACACAGTGAGTTCTAAGCCAGCCTGGGTTACCACAAGGATAGCTTTCTTGCCAAAAGAAGAGGAAAGGGACTACGTTCGTGATGGCCTGCATCACCAGTTACCCCACATTAGCCTGGCCTGTATCACCTCTGTCACCCCACATCAGCCTAAGTTTCACAACCTTCACATTCACACTGTTATGGCAGATCCCTTCTGTGGTCCCATACACACATGTACACACACATGCACACACATGCTCCATCTCTGCACTCACAATAAACAGTGCAGTGCACAGGACCACAGTGGTTCTTGGGGGTTCATTAACATGGGTTTTTGCAGTGTGACAATCCAAAAGAAATCCTTTCTGCTGAAAGGACTGTCTTGTCATTGGAGGCCTCAGGAATCACTTCCTCCTGTCTCTCTTGAAGAATACCAAGAGGCACATGGGGCTATGGGACACACACACACACACACACACACACACGCACTCACACGCACACACGCGCGCACACACACACCCTGCACTAGATCAGAGCCCTCAGGGCTGCTGCCCCCTGCTGGTGTACGTTTGTTTGTTAGCCAGCACCTCTAGTAAGTCAGCTAAGAAGCAGGGCTTGGAGATGCCGTAAGCTGCCCTGAACCGTCTCCTGCATCCCTCAGATAAACCTGGTTTCATGAGTCCGTCCGTCCCCCCCCTATCAGTCCCCAGACAACCTCTTCTACTTTGGAGCTTTGATTTTGTTGTTGTTGTTGTTGTTGTTTACAATGGGACAAAATACAATCATGGTGACAAACCCCACTCAATACAATTCATTTTCCGCCACATTAAATGGACCATAACAACAAGATGCCTCCGGTGATTTCAAAGGGGGTTAATCCCTTGCTGGGTTAATGCTCGCTCTCCATTCCAGCTCACTCCATAGCAGGAATGCCAAACGGGGCGCCATGCCGACTTGTCCACATCAGCTAACTTGGATGGGGGCATAAGACGTGCTGCGGTCCTGCCTGCCTGTGATTTCAGCTCCTCTGACTCAAGAGTCTTCAGGTGGTGCAGAACAGCAGCCCTGCCTGCTTCTATCCCCTTAGCTTCCAAAGCCCTGGGAGTGGTAATCCTCTGTTTTCCTGGACCATTCATTGTCATGACTCGGGAAAACTCCTGCTGACATGATGGAATGCTGGCGGAGGGTATCTGGTAAAGAGCTCCCAACTCTCAGACTGGGAAGACCATTCAGTGAACAAAGCCCTCTCCCTGCAAATGGGAGAGCCTGAGTTTGGATCCCTGAGCCCACAGAAAGCCAGAGGCACTAGTGTGTTTTTATAGTCCCAGTGTTCCTAGGCCGAGATAGAAGCTAAATCAGGCAAGTCACAAACAGGCATGGCCCGGCTAGCCTGGGGTACCTAGCAGCAAAGAGTCCCTCTCTCAGATGATGGCTAGGCAAGGACTAATGCCCAAGGTTGTCCTCTGAACTCCACATTTGCTCCCACAGGAACATGCAACCATGCATGTGCATACAAACACATACATGCAACTTTAAAATGAATAACACTTCCTGACTCAGTAAAAAGCAGAGCGTGGCTACATTAGCTTCCTAGGCTGTAGAACAGCACACAGTGAATGGCTTTTACAACTAGACTGGTTGAGTTACATCTCCGGAGGCCCCGAGATCAAGGTGTGCAGAAAACCGCTCTCTCTGAAGGTGCTCGGGAAGGACCCATTCCTGGTTTCAGGTCTTTTCCTTGGCTTTGGACAGCATAGGCCCGTTCTCCACATGGCATTCTCTGTGTGAGATTCTGTGTCTCCCCAGACTTGTCCCTTTTTATAAGGCCGTGGACATAGTGACCTCATTTTAACATGATCATCTGTAAAGACCCTACTTTCAAATCTGATCACAGTCACAGGAACTAGAGGTTAGAGCTCTGATACCTTTTAGGGAGACTAATAACAAATAATAGTGACTGAATGGGATGGCCTTCCTCCCTAGCATCACTTGGGAGAGCTTTGACATCTACTACGTTATCCGGGATCCTCATCTTCAGTGTCAGCATCCAAAGTTGAAGCCTATGCCTTGCAGGCTTTCTGTTCCACGACTGTTGCTTACCAGTGTGCGCACAGTGGCACAGATGACTGACACCCTGTCATGGGGACTGAGAGAACTCACTCTAGTCATCAAGGCCTAGGACAGCAGGCAAGATTCCTGCACGGGTCGGTATCCAGGTCATGATCCTGGAAGGTGAGCACAATTTAAGGAGCTCTCAGAGAGAGGTGAGACATTGCCTCACAGGGTGGCGGAAGAAGGTGGCCATGATTGGGAGCTGATGGCTAAGTTGCCCAGACAAAGCACAAACTGTCAACTCATGGGGAAAGACAGGTGAGTGATGATGCAGAAACTTCTGGACTAGTTCAAGGACATCTGAACTTGATCTGGTGAGACTTGGGGAACTGGTGACCAAGATGCAATCTAGAAGATACTATTTTCAAAGGTCTTTTTCTGCTGAGTCATGAAGGATGGGAAATGAGGTTTCAGGGGAAGATGGGGATATTAACAGTTGTGATGTTACAAGCATAGACCCACCTTCTCTTGCTCCTGTACCTGGAGGTCTTGTTGCTTCGACTGGACTGTGCTGTTAAGGCACAAATATTATTTAACAGCCTTCTGTAGCCAGCCATGGGGAAGACCATCTGACAGATACCTGGGGGTGATTTGATGGTAAAACAGGGACCAGAAAGATGGCTCAGTTGCTAATATGCCCACAAGCACTTGATAAGCATGAGGACCCAAGTTCAATCCTCAGAACCCACGTTCAACAGGCTGGCCATTTACGGACAAGGCACTGCAGGGGCTGAGGCCTGCTGGCCAGCTATGCGAGCATGCGCAGTGAGCTCCATGCCGTGAGAGATCCCACTTCAACACAGCCACAAACAAAGAAACAACAGCCATAACAAAAGGTAGATTTACCTGAGGAAGAGCGCTTAAGGCTGTCCTGTGACTTCACATGTTCATGCACACACATGCATCTGTATGCCCGTATCCCTCCAACCCGCACACACAGAATGAGACTCTTGGAATTAGGGTCTTAATGATATCTACCAGTTATTCACTAACCACTGCAGATTCTGGACAAGCAATGTTCTATTCTTATTGCACCTGGGAGCAGTTATGGTTGTGAGTATTATATATCTGGAAGAGAATTTAAAGTCTAGCTTATCCAAAAAGTGTTTGACTCAAGATGGCTCAGCTATTAGCAGCATGACCCGGGATCAGACAGTAACAGGTATGACTAACTGGCTGTGTGAGTGAGCTTCTCGTCACTGTAACAAAACACCTGAACTAATCAGTCAAGGAAGTTGACTTCAACTGTAACTTATGGGTTCAGAGTTTCTGGTGCATGCTCCCTTGGCTCCATGGAGCACAGTTCCTAAGGAGGGAGTCATGATGGAGAAGGCTGACTCACCTCATGGAGGTCAGGAAGCAAAAAGAAGGAGGCAGGAGAGGCCAAGGGTCCCATCAAATCCTTCTTGAGGCTCCAGCTCATACCATTATCAGTAGCGCTGCAAGCCAAGCTTTTGGGATGTACTGAAGAGCCAAAGTTTTATATTGCCAGATGCATTGAGTCCTCACAATCCAACAGAATGGAAGTACCATTTTGAAATGTACAGTCAAGCTTGCTGTGACCGAGAAAGGTTAAGTGGCTTATTTGGCAATGGATAGTTGATAGTGGACCGATGGCAGTTGGATATTTGATAGATCATAGCCAGGGCACAATGACTGATAGACTTCCCTCATTCCATCCAATACCAGATCGCAGGCTTCCCAACACACCTAAAAAATGTCAGTCCTACTTCCTTGGCAAACCCTGCCAAGACAGTCTTTAAGAATCCTCCCCTTAGCTGGGTGTGGTGGTGCATGTCTTTAATCTCAGCACTTGGGAAGCAGAGGTAAGCTGATCTTTGTGAATCTGAGGCCAGCCTGGTCTACAGAGTGAGTTCCAGGACAGCTATATATGCAGAGACCCTGTCTCAAAAGCAGCAACAACAAAACAAAACAACAAAAAACAAACAAACAAACAAAAAACAGCAACTAAGCCAAAGGAATCCTTCCCTCCTCCTCACTTGCTGTCTTGCTTTTCAGGAGAGAAGTATGAGCTGCATGCGGGGACTGAGTCCACACCGAGTGTCGTCGTGCATGTGTGCGACAGCGACATGGATGAAGAAGAGGATCCAAAGACTTCCCCAAAGCCAAAAATCATCCAAACCCGGCGTCCCGGCCTGCCGCCCTCCATGTCCAACTGAGCACGCCTGTGACAACACGCCTCTCCTCTTATCATGCTTCCCCTCGTTGTCTGTCCAAAACATTAATTGCCTTTAAGTCCCTGGGTGTTTGGTTGTTTGCGATTCCTTCCTTGTAATTAAGCCTCTCGGACAAAAGGGCTAGGAAAAGGTGACATGTCTCCCAATCAACTCATACCCATTAACTATAATCCATTATTTAGAAAGTTCTAGAAAAAAAGGTAGTATTTTCTTATTAAACAATCAGTACAGCCTATATCCCTGTTCTCTCATGTTGATCCAAGCCATTGACATCAGTAACAAATAGCATTTAAGTTATTTGTGAGCTGCTCCAGGTGTGTGTGTGTGTGTGTGTGTGTGTGTGTGTGTGTGTGTGTGTGTGTGATTGTGTTTTCTCCTGGCCACTTATATAGGACCATAAGTAAACTTGATTTTTGACTGCATGGGATCCCCCTACCTGGTCTCACCCAGTCCTCTGCATCCCAACATTCCCAGGACATGCACGATCACCAGCATTTATTTTAATGATTTAAGGGTACACCCCACTGCACGGTGTCCCAGCCGTGACCTGTATAGACAAGGGGTGTCCCCAGCACCATCCAGCTCACACATCATCTTCAGTTTGAGTCAATACATCATATAGCTCTGTCCAAATTCCTGGAGGCAAAATTGAGCTTGGCCCCAAAGATATTCCTCAGTAGATTCTGAACACCACTACCACATAGGACTTCCCATGGCCACTGGGGAGGCTTGTCCAGGTGACAGAGACCGATTTCAGACAAACCTATTTATTATAGAAGTCTCATGGTGTCTGAACGATTGTCCCCCGCCCACTTTGTATATTTGTACAGATGTTTGAGCTGTGCGTTTAAAATCCGGATGTTTTTTATTTAGTGATTGTTCGACCATTAGCTGCTTAATGACATCATCATCCCTGCGTTGCTTCTGAATGCATCCTGATTCTACTGTAGATAACCTGATCTTATTACATGCTCTCGTGGTCAGTGCTGAGTTGTAAAGAGGACAGCAATGGCTCATGTCAATATATAACCAACTCGCCAGCCTCTTTGCTGTCAAGACCACCCGTTTTTAAACAAAGATCCAAGTGTCGGTTATAAACAACTTGGATGATGCTGAACCCCAGAACGTAGACACAGCTGAGCATCGCAGAGCACAAAAGGATGATGGATGGACGGATGGCAGTCCCACTCATCCCGTGCCCGTGTGCTCAAAAGCTCTTTGTTTTCGTTGCGTGTGACTTTTGTATTTCTCTAGCCCAAAGTGCATTACAGAAGATACAGTTACAGAACCATACTTTCTCTCCATGTGTCAAGCCTCATCAGCTCCTGTTCATTAACAAGTAATTTTGGATGCAAATACAATTTACCACAGAGTGGGCTAGTACTTCCATGACCTAAGCCTCAGAAAAACACACAAGAACACTAACCCAGCCACGTGATGGAGGGATTATTGTGGGTTTTTTTTTTTTTTTTTTTTTTGACTAAGGCGTATGTTAGTTTCAATAGAAACTTCAAACCTAGACTGATCACTCAGAAAATCAAAGTCCGTTCTACTGTGAATATAGCAATATAGTACTGGACACAGTACAGTATGGTTGAACTGAGGACAGCATTGCTTGTGGAACCCCAAGTTTTCATGAGGAAAATAAGTCTCCTTTTCAAATTCAGACCTGAGGAGTGTACAATAAGCAACTGCTTTGACTTTCCTTTGTTGTGGAGGGTTCGGGTTTTTGATTGACCAAGGAAAGACTACAAATAGTGGAGAGATGGTGCCCTCTAGTGGAGGAAATGTTGGACTCAGCTCTGCAGATGGATTGATGATGAGCCTGGGACTGACTTTCTAATCCACATTAATTTTCAGGATGCAGGTTCTGGAAAAAAAAAATCTAAATGAATGAAAGCTTTGGAAATAATCTGTGTTTCCAAATAGTGGTAGCAGACGTTTCCAGTTTAGTAAAAGTTGACATGACTCTGTCGTGTAGGCATTAAAAACTCAGTGTTATAGATGACCCAGGTCTTAGTAAACTGTATTGCCGTGTGTGGATGTTAACCTGTTGCAGATCAAGGGATTCTCTTGCTGGGTTGAACATGGGGAGAGGGGAGGGGGAGCTTTCCCCGGGAGAAATGGGCAAGCCCCAGGACCTCCCAGCACTGTGAAAGTCACAATCGCCTCAACACTTCCATGACGCACATTATGCAAACCTCTTTAGCACTCTTTTAAGTTTGAAATGTTTTCAATGGAGGGGAAGGGGAAGGTCTCCACCCACTGAATCATTTGTGCACGTGTATGGCTCAAAGAGCTTAGAGTTCAAATATATCTGGTGAATGAATGTCCCTGTGGCCTCATTTCTGGGTTGTCTGCCTGAGTTGCGTGCATATTCCCAGGGTGGGCGGGGGAGGGGGGGAGGGGAGAAGTGCCCCCTAACTTAGAGATTTTCTAAGGGGTTACCTATGTGTGTAACTAACCCAGCGGCATTTTTCCTAAATGAACCGGGAGGGAAGCTGGGTAACCGCCATCTTTGAAGGAGGAGTTATTTGAGCGGGACCTGGTGAGATGGGTTAGGTTCCGATAAAGGGGGCTGGGAAGGTTGTGTTACTGTCAAGTTCAACCATATTGACTCCCAGAGCCATTTTAGAACGTGCTAAGAGCACTTAACATCTCCCTGCTCTGCTCTTTAAAAACATTAGGAAAAGAGGCCCTCTGGAAGAGAAACCTCAAACATGATCAAAGAAATACGAGCAGAATCTAAAAGATTGACTTACTGGGTGTCGTTTAAGTCAGAGTTTCCATCCACCAAGTAACACAGTGAGTATGAGGAAAATCAAAATGAAAATTCCATACTGGGAGAACGTAGTTGATACACATGGAATGGTTGAATAACTCACAGCCAAGCTCTGGAACAGTGGTTCTCAACCTTCCCAATACCATGACCCTTTAACACAGGTCCTCATGGTGTGCTGACCCCCAAATCATAAAATTATTTTCATTGCTACTCCATAACTGTAATTTTGCTACTGTTATGAATTGTAATGTAGATATCTGTGTTTGCCAGTGGTCGTTTGTTGGGGTGGGGCAGGTCCCAATCCACAGGTGGAGAACCATTGCTCTAAAAGCTAGATGTAAAAGGCAGACAATGCTTTCTCTTTAATGATTAGCCTACATGGGGGCAATTCCCATATGCACACATGTCTTAACTACCCTAATGACCCATGGACAGTAAAAGGTGCTCCACATCACTCCTTGTCAGTCAAGGACAAACCTCACAGGGCATCTAAGAGCAGTGTGGTTGAGATGCAGTGTGTTAGAATAGAGAGTGCCGGGAAAGCTGCAGAGGAGGCCTGAATGAAGACATCCCTCATTGAGAGCACTGGCCAGGAGGGACTAGCCCGTGCGCATGCCTGCCTGGAGCTCTTCCGCTCTGAAACACATAGAGGAAAGTGCTCACATCAACTAAAAATTGTATACAAGGATGCCCAGAGCAGAGCGGCCAGGAGCCATGCACTAGATACCACTCAAACGCCCTTCAACTGTAGAATGCAGTTGACAAACCATCCAAGTAACAGCATAAATACAGTCCAAAGTTATACTGCCGGGCCTCTATCTGAATCATGGCAGAATTAAACATATTGTTTAACTAGTTAGGCAGTTGAGAATCCCACTAAAGGGCCAGGAAAACAGCTCAGCAGGCAAAAAACACTTGTCAAGAACTCCTGAAAATCTAAATTGGATCTTAGAACCTGTGTACCACCTGGATACTTTGGTGCATGTCTGTAATCCCAGTTAATGCAAGATGGGGGGGTGGGAGGAGTGGAACCCCCCACCAGAAGTTTCCAGACCAGCTGGAGTGGAGGACAGTCTGCAGAGACAGCGAGAGATCTGCCTCAAAACAGGATGAAAGTCCACTGAGAGCAAAGGCCGTCCTCCGACATCCAGAAGTGTGGTCCACGGTAAGAGCACACTTTCACGGGAAACTACATACACATCGCATTCACACAAAGAAATATTTTTAGGAAGAACTATATTGATAGGAATTATAACCAGGGTTGCCCATGGGAGGGTGTTGATGGAACAGGGACAGTGTGGGAGCTGTCTGGGGGAGGCTGTATACATTAGATATCTTGATTTGAATGCCTATACGTAAAATTTTCTTAACAGGTGATATAGCATTAAAGTTAGCTTCCATCAAAATAAAACCATCATGAGAATGAGAAGGAAAGAGCCACTAGTTGTAAATAGGCCCAGACAATTTATACTGAAAATGTCCCCAGGCCATCTCATAAACAAATATTCATTTAAAACCAAGAGTATTTTTTTTTAATAGAAAGCCCAGAATGGAAGCACAGAGACACCATTCACCTGGGGACATTTATACTGCCTGTCTGATGCTCAATTCTCAGTGGTGAGTGAGGACTTACTGTCCCCATCATTTCCAAGAATTGAATCTTGTGTGGAAATGACACAAGAAATACCTACGCCCCAAATTCTGACCATGGAGGACAGTGAAAAACACCAACAGCTCACTGTGAGCACGGAGACTCAAAGTGGAGGTCAAGGCTGGGAAGAGAAGCCACATGCCTTTACTTCCTTCCTGTTAAATACCTGACAAAAGACACCTTAGTAAGGAAGGGTTCATGTGGGTTCACAGTTCAAGATTGCAGTCCATTACTGCAGGAGGGTCACTGCAGCAGGACCCAGGGGGAACCAGTCATGCTGCACCAACAGCAAAAAGCAGAGAACAACAGATACCTGTGTTCAACTAGCTTTCTCTTTTCTATTCAGTTGGGGACCCAAGCTTAGGGAGTGGCGCTGCCCACTTTCAGTGTGATACCCTTCTCGGTTAACCTAAGCAGGCAATAAATACACTGCCAATCCCTCACAGGTGTACCTGGAGGCTGGTCTCCTGGGTGATTACAGATTCCGTCAGGTTGACAGAACTAATTATCACACCTCACGAGTGAACTGAAGAGAAAGCCAGGGAAGTGCTGAGAGAGGAGCATTGTGGGAGGCAGAGTAAAGGTCATGAATTCGGAAAGGCTGATCATATTTGGAATAACCTCAAGGATGTTGTCAGCATGGCTGACATACAAGATGGAGGTCAAGCATGTCCCCACATGAGGTAGACAGGGTCAGGAGGATCTAGGATTTGTGGGCCAAGTTACAGCATCTTAGAGTTCATTTTCATCACACTTAGAAGGGTTCCCATCAGGGAGATTATGTGATTCCATTCATCAGATGAGTCAATCCTAGCACATAAAGGAGATGTTTCTTTTCCAAAGCCAGGGTCCTAAACATATAGACACTGAGGTATGGGGGCTGGACCCATTGCCTACTCAAGGACTGAAGACTGAATGAATTCTCCTCATCCACTGTCAATAGGTAGTGTTCTATCATGGTTCTAGAAGAGTGGAGATTTTTCTTTCCCCTCCTGAAGTCACTTAGAAGGCCTTGGTGCAGGAACGGGCTGGGGGTGGGGAGGCACAGACCAGGTTGTAGAGCGCGATAAGTCAGTTACTCGGGACAGTACTCATTTAGCTGCCAGTACAGCGTGTCCTCGCCCAAGGCCACCGCGCAAAGCATCACTGAACACTTGGCAGACTCTCCTCTTCAATTTATGCAATCAGAGTGAGGGAAAATTTCAGGAAAAATGTTTTCTCTCAAACTCGTTTACCTGTTCTTTTCAATGAGAGTGAGTGGGTGGTGGAGTTTCTGGGGATTGCTGCCTGGTGGCAGAAATAGAAAAACTCGGAGTCAGGTAAAATGGCTGAAATATTTTACTCTCAAGTTTCACCCTATAGCTCTTTGGTTCTCTTGTGTGACTTTCCGTTCTTTCTGAAGCACTGAGTCTGAAAACTTAGGCTTAGGCAGAACCGCGGGGGCCTCCTTGACTAGTTGTCATTGGTAAGATGATGGGAGTTGCCAAGCAGTCTGCATTTGGCTTTAAAATGTAGGATTACCTCTATAGTGTTCCTAAATTCCACCCTCAGAGTCGCCCGATGTGCTGGAGTCAGCGCCGGTGTGTGTGAGTCCTGGTTTCTGCTTTGCCTTAGAGGCATTCATGCCCCCAGGTGCAGCTCAGGGCTTCCACTGAGTGGCCAGACACTGAACTTAGCCTGAAGGAGTCCCCCATCCCGGGCTACACTCCCTTGTCAGGGATAGGCTACTGCAGTGATTGGTCAGCATGAAGAAGGAAGACCATGCCCTGGGGCGCCCCAGCTCCAGAGCTACCCTAGGAGTGACTGGGGCCTTTGCATCTCAGGCCAAGCCTTACCTCTGGGCCGCACTCGCCTGTTTCAGTCTCTCACGGGTGCAGAGACTAACGACTCCCTCCCCAGTCTTCTTCCTGCATATCTCTCTCTCTCTCTGAAATGATGTCTTGGGGGAGCTAGCCTAGTTTATCTTCAATACCTACTATCCCACACTTTTTTTTTTGAGACAGAGTCTATGTCTATGTAGCCCTGTCTGACTCACAACTCACCATGTAGATCAGGCTAGCTTCAAACTCACAGAGATCCGCCTGCCTCTGCCTTTCAAGTGCTGGGATTAAAGGTGTGTGCCGCCGCGATCAGTTTACCCTCCATCACTTTGAGCTCTCTACAATTGTAGTCTTTTCTATCCAGCATTGTCCTCACATTCCTAGTAGGGACCAGCGATGCCGGAGAACTTCCTGTGGTGCTGGTAAGTGCTCTACCATGAGGTACACCCCCAGCTTGTATGCTAGATAATTCTCTAGGTGCCTGCAAGTTGAAACAGCATCTGTCTTCAGCATCCAATTTGCACAGCTGCTCTAAAATCAGAGGACCAGCCACGCCCAGCTCACTCCATCCTGCAGGCAGAGTGTGCCACTTCCAAAGATCAACAGCCACAGCATCTACACTGTTAAAGCTCAGAGGGAACAGACACACTTGTGAGATTGTCCAAGCTAAGATATAACACTGAGCATTGCACATGACTGACGGTCTTTCATGTAGTATTGGCATGTCTACTGTGGGCTGTGGCCCAGTGCTCTCTTATCTACACAAAAGACTCACCCTGTCTCTTGTCTGGTGAGCTCCTGGAGAGGGCATCCATCCAGGATGCTATGTGTCTGCAATAGTCTCATTCCCACCTGTTCACAACTGCACTCGGGTTATCTTACCAAGTGCAAAGAAAACGGGAAGGCTGATCTAGAATTCCAAATGCCATTTATCACATACACCAAATAAATAGTGTGATTTTTCTGTAAATCCGAATCTTGGCTTGCCTTGACAACCTGCTTAGACCGCGCTTTTCCTTAATCTGTGAAGAAGCTACATCTTCTTCATCTCTTTTGCTACACATACATTATTGTTA